TGGTTGGACGTTTGGGTATGCCGCCTGACCCCCAAAGAAGGCTAGCTGCATGAAGTGAGGAGGATACTTCCCGTAGGCCTGAGTAGGCACATACGGGACAGCTCCGATCATATGAGGTGCAATATGGACGGTATTACCGCCCGTCTGACTCTCATGCAAGGAAGGTGCACTTCCTGCAGAAATGTTGTTGAAGCTGTCTGGGAAATTCGACATTGAAGCCAACTCAGACATCGATTGATTTCTCTTCCGGTTGATGATCTCCCGGGCATCAATAGTTGATTTTTTACTTCTCACCGGCTGCTGAGGCCGGCGAGTGTTGTTGGTATTGTTCCCAAGAAGGAGAATCTTTGACCAATCAATGGTCCCCACTGCCTTCTCCTTTTGATGGGGAGTGGGCTGCCGGTTTCTGACTAACTTCCCCTTCCCTGGAGGAGTCTTCTTCGCCGACTGGCCTTTACTTGGACCAACCCGACTCTTGGTGATCAGCTCTGTGATTTCACCTTGAAACTCGTCATGAACCTCATGAGTTTGTCTCGTGTGACAGGGGCTGATCCTGCTGCCGTTTGGATTGCCCCATCCGGCTGTCCAGTGGGCCTGCTCGGACCCGCCTGGGAGGCACCCCGCTCCAGAGTTTCCCTGGACCGGATGTGCTTGACTCTGAGAGAGCCTTCTTTGGCTGTAGAGGTTTCGACCTGAGGATCCTCATCCTCCTCATGGTCTGTAAAGAATTTTGGGTCTTCGCCTAGACGGTTAGGGGGTACACACTCTTGAACCATCTTCTAGGTACTCTCCCCACATACGGCGCCAAATGTTTTGGGTGTTTTTGTCCCTCGGGAGAGTTACAACACAAAGAATGATCCGGGGTGAGCTATACCTGCAAAACAAACGGAGACACCAGTTGGGTGGTTCTCCGCCTCCGACGCACAAGTTAGAAACTTGAAGGGAGAAAAAAGGTGCGGAAATTTAGGTAGGGATCTGCTCGGATTCCAAGCTCAGGTTGTCTCTATCAAAGAGTAATTGTGTAATAAAGATAAAACGTGCCCTCAAAATGAGGGACATCTCCCTATTTGTAGGGTCATTGGGAATTGTGCCCCTAATTAGGTCACTGAACCCTAATCATTGGTGGGCTGCGCCATTTTGCGGCATTCTCGGGATTTGGGCCCGAAGGCCGCCTTTTCCCTTGATTTCTGGAATGACACGTGTCGAGCAGGGATTGGTCCATTTTGGACCAATTTGGGGCTGACACGTGTTTCCCTCTGATTGGGCCACGTGGCAGGGTGAAATTACCCTAAACACTTTTCACTATAAGAATTGAGTAGAGGCCAATACGGGCGAATGTGACTCCATGACTCACTTCGTACCATCATCCTCGATCCTCCTTTCGTGGTTCCGAACCATATGGAGTTAGAAATCTCATGGATTATGAATGGGGTGTAACCTTCACGGGTCAATCGTTGTTGCCTATCGTTGTCCCTTATCGTGGTTGCCTTTTATGATCCATGAACGGTTACAAGTTCCTTAAAAACTTGTTGGCGGCTCCCTACTTTCCTTGTCCCTAATCGTATTATGGCAATTCCCACTTCCTATGAGTGCCAAGCATATTCACAACATGCTTTTAACGTAGGCGCACTTCGAGCATTGCGTCAGTTCAGCATTGCGTCACGGTAAAAAAAAAAAATATTGCCGTGACGCGGGATTTTGTAACGTGTCACGGGGTTTTTCACCGTGACACGGTGGAATTTCAGGTTTTCCGTTTTTTTGTGCAACTACGAATTCATTGTTCGTTCGAGGTTTTTTTTTATTTTCGTTCTTCCATTGCGTGCGACTCCTTGACTCGGATAAATAAATAATAAATAAAAGTCATTGTAATTTTTTATTTTTAAGGCTGAAATAAATATGCTGTTATTATTGAAATAAATGCGACTACAATTATTGGCATCAAATGACTTATTTTAAATAAAAATTATAAATCATAAAAAGCAAAGCACTATTGATCTAATCTCTCTTCACTTTAAGAACATCCTTCTCTTGGTCAATTAGGTCGGCCTTCACCATTAATGTGTGTTTCGTAGCCCGAACCGTCACACCCGTAGTCGAACTTTCACCCCATTCACCTTTCTTGAATTTTTTCGGTTATTTCTCCCTATAGACCATCTTTTCTTTACCCTTCCCTTTCACATAATTCATCTTTCTTGGCATTATAGGAGTCTTAAAATCAATCCCTTGTGTTCTCGGACCTAGACGATATTTAGGAGGGGCTTTCTTACCTCCAAGACGACTCTTCACATCAGACTTGCGTGATCCGAATCGTTCCCTCCTACTTCTAGGGTTCAACCATGCCTTGTATGCACTAGACAAAGGAGGATGAGCTTGGTCACTTGCAGAAACGGTCCACAAAGGTCTTCCAACCTAATAAGTCTCGTACTTATGAACGTTACTTTAATGCAACGATACTTCACGAGGACTATCGTTATAGCGTGGAACTACTTATTCAAGTCCATACTGCCGCATAAGTCGAGAAGGGCAATAAAAGGTCAGTTTTGAGATACTAGGAACACGACAATATGGAGTATCATTCGTGCCAACCATCCTAGTAAGCCTCCACCAAGGCACCACCCAACGAATGGAAAATTCCCTCTTTGCAAAGAAATTTTTCCAATCTTCATACAACATGTTCACAGAGTAATTCTTTTTCCTGCGGACTAGGTCGTTAGGGCCATCTTTTTCAACATCGTCGGGGGCTTCAAATAATTCTAAACGCTCCATCAACCAAATCTGCAAAAAAGAAAAAATCAGTCGTTAAAAAAAATAAAAATAAAATAAAAAAAATTTGCAGATTCCCGTGACACGGCAGGTTTCACCGTGTCACGGCAGACATCCACCGTGACACGGTGCCTATTTTGTGTCACGGGGGCTACTCGAAGCGTATTTTTACCTACAGCAGTACCAGAGAGCCCTTCTTGATGTCTTTCCTGTCAGCTTTTGCTTCGTCAAGGCCACGGAATGTTTCTCCAAGGCACGTCAGCATATGAGATCTTCTAGATTCGACATGTTCAAGCACAGACGCTAGACAAGCATGTCCTACCCTACCGTTTGCAAATAAAAGCTTGCTAAACATGCAAAAAATATATGCCCTTCTACGATATACATGATAAGACTCAGAGATAGGGAGATTAAAATATAAATTTGCAAGTTTTTCTAAGTCTACTTCATTACCACACTCAATTCTATTTAAATCCGGATCTGTTATATTTAGATGGCGTTCAAAATCTTGGTAATAATATTCACTTAGGGTAGGCATGGAAATAAGATTTCTAGCAGGAAATCCAAATATTGCACCAAATTCCTCCGGCAGGGGACAGATTTCATCATAATCAAATTTAAAACAGTGTGTTTCTGGACTCCAATAATCTAATAATGCATTAAGAAAATCATGTTCAATAGCTACATGTCGCAGGGCTAGCAAACCCCTGACATGAAATAATTCTAACTCTCTTTTTTCAGCATTGGTCAAAGAATAAGACCAATCGCGCAATGTATTATCAAAATTTTGAGACATGATTATTGAAATATGAAATTCTAAATTATTTTGTGTTTCGTAATTATGCATATCATGAATAAACTGGTCTTATTTTATAGCAAAAGCGCTCGAAACTGCCAAGAAATTATCTTTTCATACGCGTAAAACACACCGCTGAGTAATACGCGTACCGTGACACGGGAAGTCCCACCGTATCACGGGAACTTTTGCCGTGACACGGCAAGTTCTGCCGTGACACGGTGCATAGTGCCATGTCACGGCACCTCACGCGTTTTCTTTTTTCATCTTTTCCCGTATCTATCCGGATTTTTTTTAGTATTTTATCTTCACCGTTTATTTTTTCAGTTTTCTGAGAGTTTTATTTCTAATAAAATTCTCAACTTTTTATCTCTATTATTATTTATTATTATTATTATTATTATTATTATTATTATTATTATTATTATTATTATCTTTATTTTATTTATTTATTTATTCATCACTTTAATATTTTATTTCTTTATCATTTTATTTATTTTTGCTTGTCTTTTTATTTTTTTTGGGGATGCTCGGTACCCACCATTACTCCACTTATGTTTTTTGTCGCGCCATTAATAAATACACGATCACACACAATGAGTCTCAAGCACACACTAACACACAATAATAAATACATAAGCTATGAATAATGTACAAAATAGTCATAATAAATAAACATGTCAAGTGTCATCATAGTATGTACAAATAAAAACCCTTGGTCAAAAGTCTCTAGAGCCAGAATCAGTATCATCTCCACCCTGCAAATATGGGAACGGTGAGCCAAAGAGTCCCTCCAGCATCCGGGTACGGGGAGTAGTGTCCCTACTAGTCCCTATGACCCCAGTAGTAGTCAAACTCAAGGCAAGACCCGTCCAGCGGGAAAACGGTGTAGACTGGCTCAAAGACACGAGAATCGTCGGTGAAGGCATCGTCCCGTACATCGGAACTGAGAACAAGCCCGACACCGGTGGAGGAATCCCGGACAATGGAGCTGAAAATGAACCAGGATCCAAGGGAGTCAAAATAGACCCAAGCTCAGGCTGTGGAGGCTGTGAAAACGACTGCCGCTGCCCATTACTCTGGCCCGGAAAGCGCTGGAAGACTGAGGCTTCTGCCATTGAGCATCCTGAAACGGCTGAGTAGTCTGAGGCTCTCGCCGAGAATGAGAACGCCGGTGAATCTCAGGAGAACGTCTACCACGACCAAGCTCCTCCTCGTCCGAGCCTCTATGCCTCGAGCGCGAGCGAGACCTCCGTTGCTCCTGAAAGATACAAATGCAAAAGGTGTCAACAATGCAAAATAAAACAAATGGTAGAAGTAAAAAAAAAAAAGAATGATACCTCAAGAACGTCGCTAGCGCTCCGACAACTCGCACCACGCCGAAGCTTGATGATGCAATACTTCAGGGCGTCAACCAGCTTCATGAGTCCCATCATCTCCGGGCGGTTAGGCTGAGGATAAAACAAAGAAAAGTTAGTAACAAGCAGTGTTAAAAGGATGAATAATGTATCAAAAAAACTCACCGGCTCAAAGACCTCGGGCAGAGACTCCTGCGCCTGTCTGTAACCCGCTGGCGCGTCAGCAATATGGTCCTCGGTGATACCAATCGGCCTTGCATAGCGGACAGACTGAGGCGGAATCTCGATCCTCCCCACAGGGCGAATGGTCGTCTAAATATATTATCGAATAATCAAGTTATTCGACTATTTAAAACAGAGACTAGTAACAAAGATCCTCAAAAGAAATCATACCTCAGGAAGACGGGGTGGAGGAGCCAAAGAGGGAAGCAAGTCCTGCGCATAATTACCCTCCATGTGCACAAGCTCCTGCCATGGAAAAGTATAGCGATCTCCCCTGTTTATCAACTCCCTAATCAAGCGTGAGTCCAGCATCGACTCTTGTGGAGATGAGGGCACCACAAAGCGTTCGCCGCTATGCTGACGAACGACACGCTCCCCCAAATACAAAATAAAGCATCCGGTACCAAACAAAATGGTGCGGTGCGCTGAAAGACGCAAGGCCTCAGGAAGATCAGTCATCCTGGCCCAAGAACGATACTGGACATCAATGGCAACCTAAAAACCATGAAAAGTTGGCGTAAAACAACGGAAACAACGTCAGAAGGAAAATAACAGGCAACAAAACTAATCCTTACGCCAACAGAAGAGGTGCCTCGGCATAGTAGTCCACGCAGTGCAGGGACAGACTCCACCCGCGACACTCCTCGATCACGCCAGCTGGCCCCGACAGGGAAGTCATGGACCGCTCCACGACGCCGGTGAGGAGCCAAGCCTGTGAAGTACTCGTAGAACCATAGCTGCAATGAAAAGTAATCTTTAGCACATGAGTCGAACAAGTTAAAGTGAAACCAAAAGAGGAAAAGATCATCACCTCTACGACTCTCCACAGACCATAGACAGTGATGGGAGACTCGTCGTTCAGCTGCTGACACCCATGACGTAGCGATAAGAGAAGGTCGACGTATCCGAGGCTGGCCCAGCTATAGGATCTTATCTCATGGATCCTGACCAAAGAGGGGAGGTAGCAAAGGAGTACGCGTGAACTCCTATCAGGAGAAAGGGTCATGGAGATTAAAATCAGGATGAAGATCCGCACTCGCTGCTCAGCCGATGTATCCTCCATGTCGAAGCCACGAGCCAAAACTGAAGCCAGCTCCGATCACCCGCTCCTAGGACCACCGCGAGACACTGGTCGGGTCCTGATATGCTGAACGATCAGACCTAACAAATCAGCTGCCTCAGCCGATCCCCAAGACAGATCAGACATCTGAGCTACAGCCCGGTTGGTGAAGCGTAGCCCGCTAATCATACTGAAGTCCAGAGGGGTCACCGTCATCTCCCCCCAAGCAAAATGAAAAGTGTTAGTAGTATCCTAGAAATACTCCAACAATGTGCGAACGACCGTCGCACCACAACCCCGGGGGCTGCAAAACCCTACCACTGCCGTATAGAAATCTACTAAACCAATTGATTCCTATAGAGCGTTCGTAGCAGGATCCCTCGTAATGATCTAGTGAAGTCGAGGAATCTAATCGCCGGCTCCAGAACCGTGGTGGCGAAGCGTGCCTTCGACTATTCTGGAGAGTGGGCGATGAGAAACATGGTTTTCATGGCAGAAAACCAACTGGTCTAGAGTCCACGTAGGTGGAACCCACCTACCTCTACTCGTAGAAGCCCGAGGCTCGGACTCTAAGGCATCGTCGTCCATACCCTCAGGAATAGTGGGAGTGTCCTCCCGAAAAGCCTGATGCCGGCCCTAGGTAGAAAGATCGCGGTCCCGTCGCCTAGGCATGCTATTATAAAGATCTAAATGCTTAGCATCATTTCCTAAGACATTTAATTCATGTTGCATTTTTATAAAAATAAAGATCTAAATACTTAGCATCATTTCCTAAGTTATTTAGTTATTTATCGAATTATACGCTAACTTTTTACCTCCAAGCTAAAAATTGGCAAAATTATGGTATTTAGTTTCTCCATGACAAACTAATACTACAGTTCTCCTAGCCGCATGATACTATGTTCTCCATGAAAATATAGTACATACGCAAAATATGTTTCGAAGTTGCACAAAAACAATGATTGAACACATCACGAAATATTTCATAAGGTTTACCACCATATTTTCACCATTTCAAGTGCAAAGAAGTAACATGAACATCATTTCACAAAAGTAGTACCCAAAAATGGTGATTTGCTCAATTCTCCATCAAATCATGCAATTTTTGTCTCAAATTTCTCACAAACACACATACATACATATACAAGTAAAATCATGGCAAGAACTTCAATATAAAACCTCAAAATCAAAAATCCCCAAATTCATTTTTAAGGGTTTTTCATGAAATTACTTATTTGAAGCAAATTTGAGACACAAATTAAGAATAACTTAAATAGATCCTTGTAGAGGTTCGAATATGAGGAGTATGGCAAAGAATTGGAGTAAATTCGGTGGAAAATCGAGCAACAAAAGCTCAAAAAAACTCCGACAACCCAGCAGACCGTCTCGACACGGTCAGATAACGCCGTGTCACGGTGATTCTGTCCCGTGTCACGGTGAGCCTGAGAAGACACGGAGCTCCGGTGACTCCGACGGCAACTTCAGGCGAAGCAACAGCAGTAGCAGCAAGTCGCAGAAAAAAAATAAAAAATAAAAAAAAAAGAGAGGAAGCAAACCGTCGTGACACGGTGGTGAACGCCGGTCGACGGGAAATAACTCCGAGCGCCGGTGAGAAGCAGCCGAGACACGGCAAACCGAGCAAAAGGAAAAAAAAAATTTCGAGCTTTTGGGTGAAAATCGGACGAGAAAGAGGATGAGCCAAAATGAGAAAAATGTTTGATATTTAAAACATAAAAATCCCGTGCAACGGACCTCGTTCCCACGTAACGGTAAGATTTTGTGTGGTGCACAAGCTTTGACTGATCAAAGATGCCATTTGACCGTTTTTTCAGCCACTAGATTGCCGCGTCACGGGAAGTAGCTTCGCGTGACGGGGGACCCTTGCCGTGTCACGGGAATGTTTATGTGACACGGTGGTTTTGTACAGTTATTTGCGAATATTCCTGACATTTTGACTAAGGTTGCACGATTTTTTTGTAAATTGGACAGTTATTTTTCGCTGGAATTACGCGGAAAATTTTAATTGATACTTAAAGGGGACTAAAATTACCATTTTACCCCTAGCAGGCATCAAAGTCTATTTTTCGGCATTTTAAGCACCTAATATGGTCGGATAATCGACTTAAAGGTGTGAATCATCTGCGGCCCACGTTCGGGGATAATCGAACCATCACACACTTACAAATTTCAGCAATCGTCGGCTTTCCTCAGGCTTGGAAAGCGTTATCGGTGGATTTTTTTTCAAGTATAGAAAACCGCCAAGTCGGCTTTCCTCAATCTTGGAAAGCATTATTGGTGGAGTTTTCTTCAAGTATAGAAAACCGCCAAGTCGGCTTTCCTCAGGCATGGAAAGCGTTATCGGTGGATTTTTCTTCAAGTATAGGAAAAAACGTTAAATTCCTTTGTCGGCTTTCCTCAAGCATGGAAGGCATTATCGGTGGAATTCTGCAAGCATAGAATGACACCAAATTCATACATCGACTTTCCTCAAGCATGGAAAGTGTCGTCCGGTAGATTTCTTCAGGCTTAGAAAGCTACCAAGCTCTTCAGTCGGCTTTCCTCAAGCATGGAAAGCGTTTCAGCAAATGTCACTCGGTGGATTCCTTCAAGCTTAGGAAGCTGCAAAATTCGTTTGTCACCAATACACTGGTGCCAGATACGTATTCTATCCCTTTACTCTTTTATCTGTGGAATTAACATTTTTCTGCAGGTATCGGCGTATACAGAGTGATTTAGGAACATCTTAAATCATTCTCCGTCCATATCGGCTACTTTGACTATTATTTTCGAAACTAACGTTTCTACAAACTTAGTCAAAGTGGGGGCTTCTGTAGACACCTAAAAATGTCTCCCCAAAACCAAACCGGATGATGAACAACCTTTCACCGCCACTATTGGTCGGGTTCAATATTTAATCCCGAGAGTGCTTAAAAAAATTGTATTCGATTAAATTCATACTTTTTAACAGTCCATGGATTAGTCTTGATGTTTGGTAAAAGTATAGTTTTAATTTCAGCCCAAACATATTATTTAATTTTAGCCCAAACCTTTTTATTTTATTGTTTTATTATTTACTTTTGGCCCAAACCTTTTATTTAATTTTATTTAATTGTTTTCCTATTTTAGCCCAAATAATAATAAGTCAGAAAAGGCCCGAAATTATCAATCGACACTTAAAATGCCGAATAAAATTAGGGTTAAAAATGTATTTAGACGGAAAAACAGGCTGGAAATTCCCGCGCCACGGCAGGTACCCACCGTCGTCTGACGGTTAGATTTCCCGTGACACGGGAAGTTTGCCCTGACACGGGGCATTCCGTGTCTTTTCCGCGTAAACCCTTAACGCGTTTTCTATCCTGTTTTCTGAAAATTTCCCGCGTCACACTAAAAATGTACCGTGACACGGGAAAGTGTGTCGTCTGACGGTGGGAATTCCCGTTTCACGGTACATTTTTCCGTGTCTCGGGATAATATTCAACAAATTTAGTTAAAAAATAGTTTGGAGCAAATTGAATATTTTGTTTGTATGCCTTTGAGATCACAAGAACGCTTTTCACTATAAGAATCGAGTAGAGGCCAATACGGGCGAATGTAACTCCATGACTCACTTTGTACCATCATCCCCGATCCTCCTTTCGTGGTTTCGAACCATATGGAGTTAGTAATCTCATGGATTATGAATGGGGTGTAACCTTCACAGGTCAATCGTTGTTGCCTATCGTTGTCCCTTATCGTTGTTGTCTTTTATGATCCGTTAACGGTTTACAAGTTCCTTAAAAACTTGTTGGTGGCTCCCTACTTTCCTTGTCCCTAATCGTATTATGTCAATTCCCACTTCCTATGAGTGCCAAGCATATTCACAACATGCTTTTAACGTAGGGGCACTTCGAGCGACGCCTACAGCTACGGTTCATTATTATCGATTGTTATTTAATAGTACCTCCTAGTAAATGGTTCTAATGTGGAAGCATAGAGGCTATGTTAGGAGAAGCCAATTGACCCCGGAAGGCGGCTAGATTAGATCCTTTACTTCGATATTTGAGTATGTTTAGTTCATGATTAATTCAATTTTTATGCCTTTGTTTTTGTTCAACTGAATGCTATATCTAAACCATTTCTCTTAGTGTTTTATTTCTAGTTTTAGCATCTTTAG